TATAATTTATATCCGTAATGAAAACATTTTACTTTGAGCAAGTTTTCAGTACAGTTTTTTTCTGCGCTATCACTCCTGAGTCGCACCAGCCATTAAATGTATCATGAAGAAGAGAAAATATATTTAAGTCGTATTTTGGGGGGACATTTTATTATTTTTCTTACAAAATCTGAGACCAAGCGTTTCACATTGCAAGACAAGCACCGGTAACCATAACAATGAACAACAGCGCGCCACGGGTCGGAGTCGCCCCGCAGCAGCGCGGTGTAGCCTACATATTTTGTTATATAAGTCGCTCCGGAGTATAAGTAGCAGGACCGGCCAGACTATGTAAAATAGTGCGAGTTATAGTCTGGAAAATACAGCAGTTATTAGTATTCGAGCTAAATTAGCAGCCTAAATACATTTCATACATTTCCAAAACGTAATACCTGTTTGTATCTTGTACAGCCAACTAGCCTTTATTCTGGACTCAGTACAATTCAAAAGTAAAGAGACATTATACAGATGAAGTAAGCACAAGATAACTTACTGGAAGACACAGAATTATCATGAGAACCAGAACAAGAGAGCCTGATAACAGTCATGTGAAAATAACAGTTAAAAAGTATGTATGTGTAATAGAAATAAAAATATATTAGAATTAGTGTAACTCACTGTGTTCCAAACAATAAATCAGCCATAGCTAATTAGTAAATATGACATGAGGTCTGGGAGTTTTTAAGTTGCATTCTTTTATTACATTTTTTTCTTAGATCTGTTAAAAGGTCACCATGGCAACCTGTGTCTCCAACATCAGCTACACAATGCAGCAAGTGTAAGTTCCAAATACCTTGTCTTGACCACTTCATGTATGGTTTTGTACTTTAAACAATTATGACAAACCTGTTATTTTTTCTCCATAGCCATTTGGATCATTGGAGACAGCTACGTGAGGCGGGGCGCCCAGAGAGCTGCAGAGACCGTCGGAGACAACCTTGGCCTCCCTGACGTCTGTGTCTCCTGGTTTGGTTGGGGCGGACCATCGACATACATGTGCCGACACTTTCGCCCTGTTTTATAAAATGTAGTGTTAAAAATAAATGTTTTTGCTCAATTACTGGAATTTCTTTGGTTAAGACAAAAAAGTGAGGAATAATCATTTACAAGTTATTTGTACAACAGGCCCATTTTAAATCCCAACAGTTTCTTAGCAGACAATAGAAATGTGTTCTTTACTAACTTCACTTGGTTTAAAAATCTTACTAAAATAAACAGAGTGCCGTATTGCAAAACCCAATCATACTTGTTATGTAAACATTAGCTTTGTAGATATTTCTTACAGATCTATATTTGTGTACAACAAAAACCAAACTTAAATAATTTGTCATTCTTTATTGAAAAACAAAATACAGGTATACAGAAAGTGTGGGAAAAATGATAATGTGAAAGTATTGCACTATAAATGTAATCCTATTAATCTTTAAAAAGAAAAACTCTAAAAATATCCTGTACAGCTACATGACAGAAGAATGGTGGTCTGTCTGTCAGAATGTGCTGAACAGATTTGCTCTTTGAAGAGGAGTGTCATGTTTGGAGGAAGGTACTTAACCCAAGACATGCAGAATACAACACTGACCAAAAACTGATGGAAAAAATGATTTATTTGTAAGGAGGAACTTAAGGTGCACAGATAAGTTTGTGGTTGGAACTGCAACAACAGCTCAGCGTCTGGAGGAGGGAGAACACAGGTGAGCATAGGTTCTGGTTTCAAAATCCATTGTAGGCAGGCAGAGGTGTTCAGCAGACTTAAGCCCCCTTCAGACAGGCCATGAAAAACGGAAATGTTCCGGAATCTGTCCGTAAGACCTTTCTGTCTGAATAAAAACATCCGGATAACATGTTCCGGAATTTATCTGGACGAAGCCCCTAGTAACAGGTCCGGACTTGTTACGGACAAGGTGGCTGCTTCAGACTGGTGAGGTAAAGCTCTGGACAAGAGGGAGGGGGAGGAGGAGGGGACCGGGGGACGCTGTGCGCACCTAGATAGCCCGCTGCTGTAGCATGCGGCGAACCACGGCAGCTCGCCTACGGTACCGTCTAGACGCGCGACGGAGCGCTTCACACCGCTTCAGTGATTCCTTTAACCATTGAGCTTCATCATCCAGGTCTCTTATGCGTCTTCGTGTGCGCAGAATTATGCTTAAGCGCCTCGTGATTTTTATCTTGAGAGGCGCTATAGAAATGATATTTTCTTCTTCTTCTTAACATAAGTCCGATTCCCCCCCACCCCACCCCACCCCCCGCCGCCGTCAGACATCTGGAACTTTTCCCTGCTGTGTGAACGCAGCCGAAAGGACAAGTTCCGGTACAAAAGTGGTGTGTCTGAAAACACAGTTCCGGTTAAAAACCGGATTGAATTGTCCGCAAATGTTCCAGAATGTCTGTCTGAAAAGGGCTTTACTGTGGTGGGTGTATGTGTTGGCTGGAGGAGGGAGAGGTAGAGAGCCAGGGGAAGCGCAGGAGAGGGAGCAGAGGCGGAGAGAAGCGGGGCGTCCTGGTGGAAGGGGCACTGGGTGAGATGAGAGGTGGGTTATGGAGGGTGGTGATATGGTCCGTGTGCTGAATATCCAAATCCTGGTCCGTGTGCTGAATATCCGAATCCTGGAGTAGAGGTCAGTATCCAGTGAGGTCGACAGGAATCCTGAAGAATGGTAAATCCAATATAAGAGCAAAAACACTACGAAATAACAATCATAGGAACACTAGAGGTAACACGAGTGGCTGGTTACTACCAAAACTGAGGCAATCTTCCGGCGTCGAATTGTGTCCACTATCCACCTTAAATAGGAAAGCACCCCGCTGATTGCTGATCAGGAATAGCTGGGCCACTCCCTCTCCTGGCAAGAGACTCACAGATGGTTAAGAGAACAGGAGTACTCACCCCGGCTCATGACAAGGAGCCTTAATGTGTACAAGGTTCCCCTTGAGTAATATTGGTTTGGGTTATGTATCGCCACATCAGCATATAAATGCTGAACCAATCTGGAATAAAGACTGCTGATAGAGGATAAACAAGTAAATAAGAGAAAAATTAATACAACTAGGAAACCAACATAAAAAACAGCAACCAGCAGCTGCACCTGTGAAGAAACATTTCTAAGAGTCATCAAGAAAACGTGGGATGAACAACTATAAACATGTAAACCATGAACCACAAACATCATGAACAACAAACATCAACAAGCATGTGTTCGTGCGTGTGCTGGGATGTGAAGTGTTAGACTGGACCAGGTGCACTCTGGAACGGCCACAAGCACCAGAAATCCTTGCTACAGAGAACTCAGCTATGCCACATCCAGAACCGGCTGACACAGGTCATGGGCCACATGGCACAGGAATCACACAGCATTTCCACCTGAAACAGAATCATTAAAATTAGAATCAAATAAAACAGTTGTTCAGTATGACATCAAAAGAATTTTTAAAGAAGGCATTTGGACTTCTTTGGTTTTATGAATATAGGAGGGTTGATCTTAAGCCTGATTCATGCTTCTCCTGCGTCAGTGCGGAGACACGCAACTCCATTATCCGTCCTTGCGTAGGGCCCCAGCAGGCACGCAAGTACGCACGGAGTCGAGCCCACTTTTTTAAACATCTGTTTAACGAGACGGACAGCGCAAGCTTGTGATTGGTCAGGATGCCGTTGTCGTCTACAGCGCCGCCATTGCGCACTCAAAAACAAAGAGCCGAGGATAACTAGCGACAGACACGGAGAAACTTGAAGAACACCTCGCAAAAACCTCTAAAAACATGAACGTGTTTATTCCCCGTGACTGGAGGAGTGAAACAATGCACAGCAAGCGTTTTATTTGTAGACGGAAATGACAGGAATCCTGGGTTTAGAGGTGGCGAGCCCATGAAGAGGTGTAGGAGAATGAGACAAATTTGTCTGTTAAAAAGTCTGTTATGTACAAAAAACACAATATCATCACACTATTTTGGACCGATACATGACAGGATACCACAGAACAGATCTCCGCCCTCTGCTGTCCGGTCCGGGAATTGCTTTGTAACACTTCCCAGGAGACGGAGAAGTATGAGAGCTAAACGTCTCCGTCCGTGCGTGCGTGTCTCTCCCTGTTGGAGCTGACAGAGAAGCATGAATCAGGCTTTATTGTAGCTGTCAATTGTTGCTTGATAAGCAGAAACTGTCACCTTCAAAACACCTCCTCTGCACAGGTATTTCTTTGTAATTAGGAACAGGAATAAAGTTATAGAGGTCAGCAGGTAAAAGATCAGCTTAAATTAATTTCACCATTAGAACAAAGGATGTTGTGTAGGCGTGAGATCACCAAAGATGATAGAGTCTTTTAAATTTTACTTTCAGATAAGCTGATGACGTTCAAAACTTACCTTGTCATTCCTATTTACCTGTTCTTCCCTTCTTGGAACAGGTTTTTTGACCTTAAAGGACGAGAAGATTGTAGGTACGGCTGTGTCCTTCAGGCAAACTCTCCCCTAAAATAAAAAAAACATAATTACTTAATTAAAAAAACAGACATTCACATATACACACATCAGACAAGGTCAGCTTCTGAAGAACACACTGGTACACCAGAGCACTGTGTGTGTGAGTGAATGTGTTTGCATGTGTGTGTGTGTGTAAAAGGCATGTGTAGTGTTTGTTATTTACAAAGCATATGTTGTTGGATTTTATCCAGAATCGAGACTTTGAAAATATATAGTTTAATTACAGTTTGATTTATTTGACATCTGTATAATGTTTATTATTTTGTTTTTTTCCCCCTAAATGCCTAACGGTTTAGTTTAACATGAATATTTGTCATTCATCCAAATACATAAAGTTACACATTAAAGACTGTCCAAAAATTTATTTGTTTCTCTGAGTAATTAACCATAGAATTAGATGGAAATTAATAACATGATTGTTTCCCATCTAAACAGCCCTAGTCACACAATTCAAGGGTGGGGAAGATTTTCTTCTAGTTACACAGCAATGTAACATCGGTATATTATACAGCTAATGCTTCAATTTTTTAAATCTCAACCAAAATATGAAGTAATATGTTTGTACCCTGGAGTCCGTGGTGAAGTGATGACTCTCAAAGTGTTCACTGCACAAGTGGGAGAATGAATTGGGAGTCCAGCACTCTCTTCTTTGGTTGCTCACCCAAAGGTCAAGCCTCTCTGGATCACCTAGAGGAAAAATTCATACAAATAACTAATTAAGTATATGGCTTTAAAATACTTACCGGAAATTACTGACTCGTGCGTACTGCAATATAAGCCTCACCCCCCAAAAAAAGCCAGTTTATCTGATGGCATACAGACTTCTAACATCAAGCACTATCTACCAACTCACCGAGCTGCAGTATATCTGTGGTCAGGTCCGGCTTGGGTAGAAAATATGACACGTCTTTCAGGATGGACTTCATCTTTGGTAGCTGGCGAAGCTGGAAAAAGCAGGATCTAACCACCTGGCTAATGTGGGAGTCCATCCGCATCTCTGGGTCCAAAACCACCCCCAGGTTAGTGATGGTTGGCTTCACTAAGCTGCAAAAACAGGGTTGCAGGACAGGACTAACTGCAGTGGGAGAGGGAGGAACAAATATTCCAGTTATAAATATTAAATATATTAACAAATAAATATTTGTTAAAAGGAAGAAACTGATGATGACTTTAAGATTAGAGGAATGTTCTAGAACGGGTCTGGAACCAACGATAGCCCTTTGGATCAAATTTGGATTAAAAAAATAGCTCATGATTTTATTTACGGATGGAATAAAAATACAGGTTTTAAGCATCTTCTCAGTATCTTCATGTTGCACGACTTTCCACAGCAGAATGACACAAAAACTGCCAGAATTATGATTAGATAGATTTACGTTTTAATCTCAGAATCCCAACTTTTCCCAGAATCCTCACATTATTCTATGAATTCAGAGAAAATATACATTTTTCAGAGGTCTCGCTCCCCTGCTGTGGATATTTCTCAAAATTCAACCATTTTTTCTTTTCAAAAGCTTTAGTAAGAGTTTGGACTCTAAACAAGTTTTACTTTGCAGACTGCTTGTCTACACCTTCATCAGATCTGCTCATAATAAAACATTTGGGTTATCTTAGGTGTGTTCTTGCTGTGTCTTTCTAAATCCATACTTTCGTTCTTTTTTAAACACAGAAACAGTTTTGTTTACTTGTTTGTAGCTACAGTTTCGCCGACGGCTGCCGGCTTCTTCAGGCTGACGCTGATGGTGGCGCGTCACTTCCTTCTCCATTTATCTGCGGGCAGCAGAGGACGTTGTCGCCCTCTACTGCCCGCTCTCCCCTCTCCGACGATGCAGTCCCATGCGTGGTCCAGCGTGTAAACTCCGTCGTCCCTGTTCATGGTCCCACATCCACGTCTCCTTATCTCGATTGCTTCCTTGATCCATCTTTTGTATTTTTGTTGTTCGGTGGTTATGATTTGTGTGCTGTCCCAGTCCATTATATGGTTTTCTCTTAAGCAATGATCTGTTACGGCTGACTTTTTTATTGTACTTTCTGCTTCTTCTTTTGCTGCTCTTGTGTGAGGCAAATCGTAAACACACAAGAGCAGCAAAAGAAGAAGCAGAAAGTACAATAAAAAAGTCAGCCGTAACAGATCATTGCTTAAGAGAAAACCATATAATGGACTGGGACAGCACACGAATCATAACCACCGAACAACAAAAATACAAAAGATGGATCAAGGAAGCAATCGAGATAAGGAGACGTGGATGTGGGACCATGAACAGGGACGACGGAGTTTACACGCTGGACCACGCATGGGACTGCATCGTCGGAGAGGGGAGAGCGGGCAGTAGAGGGCGACAACGTCCTCTGCTGCCCGCAGATAAACGGAGAAGGAAGTGACGCGCCACCATCAGCGTCAGCCTGAAGAAGCCGGCAGCCATCGGCGAAACTGTAGCTACAAACAGGTAAACAATACTGTTTCTGTGTTTAAAAAAGAACGAAAGTATGGATTTGGGTTATATTTAATGTCTAGAGAAGATGCTCTTCCTGGGAATTAAGTTATCAAAAACAGATAAAAGTTTTTTTTTACCATAATTTTAACTGCTATCAGCTGATAAAAATAATAAAAACATGACGAAACTTGCTGGTGTTCCTTCAGCAGGCCTGGTGGTAGCTACAACGACCCAGTGGCTGTGCTTGGTCAATGTTATCGAGCTCAGTCCGGCTCGGCCGTGAATGAACCGACATCCTGCTCTGCTTAAGAAGAAGTGTTATTTTCCGCTTCAGAAGAAGCGTCCGTGTTTTTACGCTTTCTCAGAGACATGTCACGTCGCTAAGTTGTTAGCGCCCTGCGCTAACACGTCAATAGTGCAGCGTAGCCTGCTGGAGATTTTAAGGGTTCAGATGAAAACAACTTTACCCTTTTACCCATCGAAATATGCCCTATTAATTATTTTACCATATTTTACATTTAAATTTCATGGTTAAACAGTACATGCTACATGTTAAACTGATAGTTAGCTAGCTACTTCGGTAAACTCAGCTAGTTTAAAGGCACGGCAGTGACATAAAATACAAATATAGATTTTAACTTACCAAAAAAAATGAAGTGGAGACTCCTTGAACGCACTATTAGTGCAATTAATACCACAACAAGTCATTTTGTCCCACAGTTGCACCAATAATATCCAAAACAGAATTCACAAGCACAGAGACTCAAAATCCCAACACAGTTTCCAGGAGGGACCGAGGCTGTACTGAGGCCTTTCCACGGAGCTAGCTATGTGGTCACGTGGGTCTGAGGCGGCGGTCACGTGGGTCGGCTGCTCATTAATTATACAGAATTTTAGGCTTTCAGTACACTTAAACAGAAGAGTGAGAAAAAAATTCACCCCCCTCAGAGTTGTCATGAGTATAAACTAGATAATTTAGACAAAAAACATGTTTTGGAACCAGGCTGTAAACATGTTTATTTCTGCTGTGAAATTGGCATTTTTAACATGGGAGTCAATGAGGATTTGCTCGCTTCTGGCACCAGCCCCCAGCGGATGAGGGTGGAACTGCAATTTTTCTTACTTCCGGGATGGGACCATTTTTAGAGCGGCATTGTGGGGGCTTGGTTTCCACCACAGAAATGCTGAGAAAAACAACAAGAACATTATGAAGTAACCCTGCGTTCCAATGGCTGTCCTTAATAACAGCTAAAAAACACATCAAATGATCAATCACAGCAGTTCAACGAATAAGTGTAAATGAAAACACGGTGGTGCAGTTGATGTGGAAAGCAAGCTAAAAAAATTTTGATTCATGCATTCAGGTTCAACTTACAAAACGACTTATTTAAATTGAGTTCCAACAAGATGCCGTATCAAAATACAATAAGCCGCCATTACAAACATGTAGAGACCTCAGTGACAATGAGAAAAACAAGTAGAAGTAACAATTCTGAAAAGAAAATGAAGGCTGCACATTTTACTGTGCCATGCATGATACATGCAGGCCGTAAAGGTTAGCGTGTCCTGGTCGGTAGGCCAGTGGTAGCATTCAACAGCTGCCACGCAGGAGACCTGGGGTTAAATACCAGCAGTTGAAGTGATGGTCAAGTGTAAATTGTTTTAGTGAGAATTCGACATTTTGTTCAATGCATCGAGCTAAAGATAACTACGCGCCCGCGCGGGCAGCGAATATAGTAAAGCTTAACTCTCTTAACAAATCTAATGCATTTAGTTCTTAGCACTACGGATGTAATACACCATTATGGCCACAGGCGTGATTGGGGGGGGGGGGGGGGGGGGGGGGGGGGCTGTTTCCACTTCTTCTCTTACAGTAAATAAATGCTGGGGGTTATTTTGATTAGCAGATATCAACGCGATTGCAGCAGCGTCTGGAAAATTCCCAAAACAGTTGATTGTCGATCGACTCTCCTCACAACTTCACCATAAGTATGATGTTCTTTTCAAACAAACTTAAGGGGTGTTTTACAGCTAAATATAAGTTGATACAGAATAAATCTGTGTTTTAAACGTTACCTGTGTGTCCGACCGAGTTAGCAAACAGATGAATTACTCTATGCTAACTGATGTTAGCTACAATCTAGTGCTATAAACAAAGTCAGAAATGTTTAAAATGGTGTGTTATACTACAGATACAGAAATGTGTGTTTTCTGACTTTTTTATGCATTTAAAATCACAACCGAATTCATTTCAATAGACACTTAAATAATGAATGAAAAAAATAAACTGTTTGGTGTGGGTCCATCACAATATGCCTAACAATGTGTGTGTCAATAAATTAAGTTTTTAGATAGATAGATAGATAGATAGATAGATAGATAGATAGATAGATAGATAGATAGATAGGTAGATAGATAGATAGATAGATAGATGATAGATAGATAGATAGATAGATAGATAGATAGATAGATAGATAGATAGATAGATAGATAGATAGATAGATAGATAGATAGATAGATAGATAGATGATAGATAGATAGATAGATAGATAGATAGATAGATAGATAGATAGATGATAGATAGATTGATAGATAGATAGATAGATAGATAGAGAGAGAGAGAGAGAGAGAGAGAGAGAGAGAGAGAGAGAGAGAGAGAGAGAGAGTAGATAGATAGATAGATAGATAGATAGATAGATAGATGATAGATAGATAGATAGATAGATAGATAGATGGATAGATAGATAAACTTTATTGTCCACCTCGAATCGAGGCAGAAATTAGCCTTTGACATGGCTCACCTTACAATACTATCCATATCACATTCACACAAATACATTATTCAGTCATCCATCCATCCCTCTCTCTCTCTCTCTCTAACACACACACACACACACACACACACACACACACACACACACACACACACACACACACACACACACACACACACACACACACACACACACACACACACACACACACACACAATTTGCTGGCATAACCTTAAGAATTTGTTGATCTAAAGGTAAGCTGAAACGGTTTGAAGAATTGTATTATTAATACATTTATTTACATGATGTGATGTCTTACAGGCTTGTCTATTAGGATGAAGAGAAAATTGATATTTTCAAGAAGGGTGGAGGTGAACTTCAGGAGAGGGCCTACTGGATATCTCAGGCAAAATCCCTCAGATGAAGCCAAGAAAATCAAGAACAACCCAGCTTGCTCCAACGTCCTCTCATCCTTCAGGTTAGTTGTCTGTGAGGCTTGGCCTTTCACAAATCATGGTGAAATATGAATACGCTAAATATTTTTTTCTGTTTTCTTTAAGAGATGGAAGCTGATGAAGAGCTGGAAACAATGATGCTTTCTTTGTCTCCATCCAAGCTCCTTCCTCGTGATGGTAACAACAAAAGCCTTCATAAGCATAAAATCACATTCAAAGTGTTTATTTACAAATAAACTTAGAGGCAATTGTTTACTCACATTGTATGTTTTTGTGCTTATGTTCCCCAAAACAGGCTCAAAGGAGAAAACTGAACAAAAGACACTGGCTGCCTGTCCACCAGCTATTGCATGCCACCCGGGTGAGCGTCACATGCACTCGGGCACCTGTTTTCAGACACTCGAAGCTTAAACCTTCTTCCACCTACATTGACTTTGTAGAACATATCTTTTTCAGTTTTCTTTGTTTAAGATTTGCATGTTTGCTGAAACACTGAGGGTGTGGTATGAAACTGAATTTCAGGGTAAAAGAGTAAACAAAAGAAATAATATTGAACTTTAAAAACTGCATCATTCATTTATTTCAAGACTGATTACCACATAATAAAATAAGATAAAAATGTAAATCAGTGATCATACCACAACCACATTTTACTTGATGAGGTCCATTATCTTTAGACTTTAGAAGACAGACGTGGTGGGTTACAGCAGTAAAATGATTTTTCTGCTTTAGGAAAAGTCAAAGCATCAGCAGCAGCCTCACAACCAGACCAGTCTGATGATTGCAGCACCCCCGTCTCCTCTGCATCAGGTAGCTGAATGCACATGTGCATATCTATGGTTTGTTTAAACCATGCTAACGTCTGATGTTTTTCCCCAAAGGTCCTGCATCTTTGAAGCCTCCACTACCAGTTCCTCCAGAGTTACTTGCCCTCAAAATTCCATTGAGGAAAACCACACCACCCTTAAGACTGAAGCCGGTATCGGTCCTTGGTGAGTGTGTTAAAAAAATAATAATCATATTTAATTTATTATTTTATCATACTTATAAGGTTACTTGTGTGGTTGTGCAGCACTCCTTCCGGGAACGCCTGCAGCATCTTCAGCTTCCTCAGCATCACCTGCAGTTTCTGGTCAGTCGGTGTTAGGCTACCCCACCACACCTGCTCCTCCTTCAGCAGTCTCTGCAGCGAGAGATCCACCAGCTCAGTCTCATAGACCTGCTGTCCCACCGATGCCCAGCTACGAACAGGATATGAGCCGATGGAACTGCTCTCACCAGCAAAGGATTTGGATGAAGATGGAGATGGAATCCCTGGGTCTGTGGCCTGGATCTCGACCGGTGAGACACCCAATGAACATGATCTCATTGTGGCGTAACCTGCCTCAGCCAGAGCTCATCGACTCCATCTATGAACTGCCATCACCCAAATATTTTCAGCTGCAACCATTTTTCATCTGGAAATAATTTTTTCTGTTTTCTTTAAGAGATGGAAGCTGATGAAGAGCTAGAAACAATGATGCTTTCTTTGTCTCCATCCAAGCTCCTTCCTCGTGATGGTAACAACAAAGCCCTTCATAAGCATAAAATCACATTCAAACAAGGCCGAGACAGTCCTCATGTCCACACCGGGTTTCCTGGTGTATCAGGGAAATACATCTACTGTCCCAGTAAAGTCTTCTCTCTGTACAAAGCAGAAGGAATGACGGAGGAAATGACGTGGAGACAGTTCTGTCAGTCTTCCTTTTATGAGACAGAAAAGAAAAGATGGGTAGCAGAAAAACAGAAGGGATTGTTGATGTGCTGGCCACAGCTTTGTGATGTTGAATACTGTAAATAAGGTAAACATTTTGTTATTGTGCAATACTGTTTTCTGATGGTTAATGATGCATGCCTGGATGATTACTCTTCTCAAGGTCCTTGTTTTAACCCTCACACTGTCCTAATGGGTGTGATCCTGCGAGGAAAGTTGACCATTTACCATTTGATGGTTTATCCCTTGGGTCCACGTGGCAGCGGTGAGGAGTGAGCACCACCTCACCGCTGCCACGTGGACCCAAGGGATAAACCATCAACCCTGCTCAATGGTCAACTTTCCTTGAGGGGTCACCCATTAGGACAGTGGGAGGGTTAAAGAAAGTTACATTTCTTCCATTTTTTAAGTGTCCAGCACTTTTTGTAAATAGCTAAAATTGTGGAGATGGATCATTCTATCTTTAAATTTATTGCTACTATTCAAATTCCTAGATTGTTTAGAAAAAATGTTTTTAAGATTTGAATTATAATAAAGATGATTGAACAGAATCCAGACTGTATGTACACCTGAAGTTAATTCATTTATATAGATAGATACACACACACACACACACACACACACACACACACACACACACACACACACACACACACACACACACACACACACACACATTTTTCCTGCTGACAATAATTTTTATATAGGTGTAGATGCAATTGTTTTAAAAATAAAGTTTATGTTATTCATTGGAATATGAACATAAAAATGAAAAAAGCTGCTGAAATATTTACACATTTTTGACTTAACAGTTTTCGAACCCACAGCAAAGTGGCAAGTCCGGTTTTGGAAGTTGTTGATGCGCTGTGGCTTTAAGCTGCAATTTGATTGGCTGTCAGTGCATTACGCCTTTATGCGGCTGGCCTCGGTAGAGCGGAGATATGTAAAGACAGCTCAAAACACATCCTTAAATCAGTGGCTCAAATCCGGCTCGAAGTAAAATGTTGATGTTCTTTTTTGATATGAGCTCTCACACCTCAAGTCATTTTTACTAACGTTTTGTTACAGCTGATCATCACTGCTTACAGATGGATCTCAGGAAACATGCCGTGATCGTATATTGTTAGTACTCTGCGTTGTGAGCGCAGCAATCCTGGGTCGAATCCAGGTCATGGCAAATGTTCCCTTACATTCCATCTTAAATAACATTTCTGTCAGAGGAAACTTTGCTAAGATGACAAGGAAAACAGGTATGCAAAAGCTCAAAAGAAGTCATTAAAGAAGAACAAGCTGATGGAATACAGAGTTGTTCAGCAACTACTGCAACATCAAGTAGTTGGTGATTCGTCTAACTTCCTTAGGGTGAAAAACAACTCCAATGCCCAGTGAGCTGATAGCAACAATAGAAAGGCTGGCCATATTTCTAGTCAGAAAATGAGATCCACTTGTGTGTAGGGACGGGGAAATGTACTTTGAACGTTGTTACGACACCTGGGTTTTACAATGGCTGGTCGTATTATTATTACTGTTTAGTCAGAATTTTGTCCCCTGTTTTGGTAGTTTTCTTCCCATTGTTTTGTTTTCTTTTGGAGTGACAACACCAGACCCAGAGACAAGATGGCTGCCTCCATGCTGTTGTCCAGTAACCATGGAAACCACAATGAGCACCGGCAGCCTCATCACCAGTGGATCCCTCCACAGTTCTTCAGGTGGAAGCAATTGGACTAATCGTTTTCTCTGGCTCTGGAAAGGATAAAAGGCTGGAGGAACTTTCATTCTGGGAGCTACTTGTAACCAAGTAGACTCCCTTTGGGCTGGTTTCAGGGTTTTATAAGTTTAAACATCTTGAAAGAAAATAATTCCTCAGCTTTTATTAAGTCTGTCTTTGGGTTTAGTAATTACTCTTGGTAAAAGAACTACAGTGGTCACTGTTAGAGTTTGAGAGTCTTTTGTGGTTAGGTCGCTGAATTTTGTAGAAGGTGAAAGCTTCTTTAGGTTTTGGAAATAACCCTGAGTCTTTTAGTTAATCCATCCCACATTTTTCTTTCTTTTGTACAATCCTGTTGGACAATTAGGTCTGAATGGTTTTCTTTTGGTGCTGCCAGTTACAATATCTGAGCCTTAGTCTCCTGCTTTATTTTATATGAACACTGGACTCTCTGAGTTTTATGGGCTGTGTTAGTGTATTTCTGTTAGGATTTCCAGCCCTTGGTTTTGTGTTATCCTCTAATGTTTTAATAAATTTGTTTTTCTTTACACAAGTTCCTTCTTGCCTCCCTGGTTTCCCCTCCCTGAAGAAGGTAAAACGTAACAAACGTTCACCCAAAATACTTGGGCATCTATGTTTGGAACAAGATCGAACAGAAAAAAGTAAAACATTGCAATCAAGGGCTCAATACACAAAGTACATAGTGCTTCTACCATGCATCACCCTTCAATAGCTCAGTTGGTAGAGCGGAGAACTGTAAAGACAGCTCAAAAGACATCCTTAAGTCATTGGCTCAAATCCAGCTCGAAGGAAAATGTTGATGTTCTTTTTTGCTGAGCTGTCACACTTCTCAAGTCGACATCTTTACTATCGTTTTATTATAGCTGATCATCACCTCTTACAGATGGAGCTGAGGAAACATGCCGTGATTGTATAGTGTTAATACTCTGCGTTGTGGCCGCAGCTATCCTGGGTCGAATCCAGGTCATGGCAAATGTTCCCTTACATTCATCTTAAATAACGTTTCTGTCAGCGGAAACTTTGCTAAGATGACAAGAAAAACAGGTATGCAAAAGCTCAAAAGAAGTCATAAAACAGTAACAAGCTGTTGGAATACAGTGTTGTTTAGCAAACACTGCAACATCAAGTAGTTGGTGATTTGTCTACTTTCCTTAGGGTGAAAAACAACTCCAATGCCCAGTGAGCTGATAGCAACAATAGAAAGGTTGGCCATATTTCTAGTCAGAAAATGAGATCCACTTGTGTGTAGAGACGGGGAAATGTACTTTGAACGTTCACCCAAAATACTTGGGCATCTATGTTTGGAACAAGATCGAACAGAAAAAAGTAAAACGTTGCAATCAAGGGCACAATGCACAAAGTACATAGTGCTTCTGCATGCATTACCCTTCGATAGCTCAGTTGGTAGAGCGGAGAACTGTAAAGACAGCTCAAAAGACATCCTTAAGACAGTGTTTCAAATCCAGCTCGAAGGAAAATGTTGATATTCTTTTTTGATGAGCTGTCACACTTCTCAAGTCGACATCTTTACTATTGTTTTGTTATAGCTGATCATCACCTCTAACAGATGGAGCTGAGGAAACATGCCGTGATCGTATAGTGTTAGTACTCTGCATTGTGAGCGCAGCAATCCTGGGTCGAATCCAGGTCATGGCAACTGTTCCCTTAAATTCCATCTTAAATAACGTTTCTGTCAGAGGAAACTTTGGTAAGATAACAAGAAAAACAGGTATGCAAAAGCTCAAAAGAAGTCATTAAACAAGAACAAGCTGATGGAATACAGTGTTGTTTAGCAACTACTGCAACATCAAGTAGTTGGTGATTCATCTAACTTCCTAAGGGGGAAAAAACAACTCCAATGCCCACTGAGCTGATAGCAACAATAGAAAGGTTGGCCATATTTCTAGTCAGAAAATGAGATCCACTTGTGTGTAGGGACGGAGAAATGTACTTTGAACGTTCATCCAAAATACTTGGGCATCTATGTTTGGAACAAGATCGAACAGAAAAAAGTAAAACATTGCAATCAAGGGCTCAATACACAAAGTACATAGTGCTTCTACCATGCATCACCCTTCAATAGCTCAGTTGGTAGAGCGGAGATATGTAAAGACAGCTAAAAACACATCCTTAAATCAGTGGCTCAAATCCGGCTCGAAGGAAAATGTTGATGTTCTTTTTTGATATGAGCTCTCACACCTCAAGTCATCTTTACTAACGTTTTGTTACAGCTGATCATCACTGCTTACAGATGGAGCTGAGGAAACATGCCGTGGTCGTATAGTGTTAGTACTCTGCGTTGTGGCCGCAGCTATCCTGGGTCGAATCCAGGTCATGGTTAATGTTCCCTTACATTCCATCTTAAATAACGTTTCTGTCAGAGGAAACTTTGCTAAGATGACAAGAAAAACAGGTATGCAAAAGCTCAAAAGAAGTCATTAAACAAGAACAAGCTGATGGAATACAGTGTTGTTTAGCAACTACTGCAACATCAAGTAGTTGGTGATTCGTCTAACTTCCTTAGGGGGAAAAATCAACTCCAATGCCCACTGAGCTGATAGCAACAATAGAAAGGTTGGCCATATTTCTAGTCAGAAGATGAGATCCTCTTGTGTGTAGAGACGGGGAAATGTACTTTGAACGTTCACCCAAAATACTTGGGCATCTATGTTTGGAACAAGATCAAAAATAGAAAAACATAAGACGTTGCAATCAAGGGCTCAATACACAAAGTACATAGTGCTTCTACCATGCATCACCCTTCGATATCTCAGTTGGTAGAGCGGAGAACTGTAAAGACAGCTCAAAAGACATCCTTAAGTCATTGGCTCAAATCCGGCTCGAAGGAAAATGTTGATGTTCTTTTTTGATGAGCTGTCACACTTCTCAAGTCGACATCTTTACTATCGTTTTGTTATAGCTGATCATCACCTCTTACAGATGGAGCTGAGGAAACATGCCGTGATTGTATAGTGTTAGTACTCTGCGTTGTGAGCGCAGCAATCCTGGGTCGAATCCAGGTCATGGCAACTGTTCCCTTACATTCCATCTTAAATAACATTTCTGTCAGAGGAAACTTTGCTAAGATGACAAGAAAAACAGGTATGCAAAAGCTCAAAAGAAGTCATTAAACAAGAACAAGCTGATGGAATACAGTGTTGTTTAGCAACCACTGCAACATCAAGTAGTTGGTGGTTCGTCTAACTTCCTTAGGGGGAAAAAACAACTCCAATGCCCACTGAGCTGATAGCAACAATAGAAAGGTTGGCCATATTTCTAGTCAGAAGATGAGATCCTCTTGTGTGTAGAGACGGGGAAATGTACTTTGAACGTTCACCCAAAATACTTGGGCATCTACGTTTGGAACAAGATCAAAAATAGAAAAACATAAGACGTTGCAATCAAGGGCACAATGCACAAAGTACATAGTACTTCTACCTGTCATGTTGTGTGGTAGATGCCTAACCCACGACATACAGAATCAGTCCACAGAGTCAAAGAAGATCGCAAACAATAATTTATTAGAAAAGGAGAACAGAAGGAGCTGCTAGGAAGTCTAGCAGTATTCTGCAGAGAAGCGAGGTTCGGGTGTGGAGAGTCCTGGAGGAACAGGGAGAGTTAGGTCTGGCACTCGGAAATCTGAATGTTGGATCTGATGGAACTTACAGGTTGGAGGTGAGACCTCGTGAGAGAGGGAGGAGTGACCGGTCTGGGGAGGGCAGGAGGCTTACTGGAGGCTGATGAGCTTGGAGTCCAAAT